TCATTTAGATCCTTGTTTGTGGACTGGGCTAAATATCCAACAGTTGGTTCTACATAAGAAAGCATGATTCATACTTTAGAAACTCATTGTGCATATTTCTAAGTTCCAGTGGCTTTACCTTCACCTAGTGATCTACGTGCTGGAAATCTGGCTCTTCAGGAAAAAAAAACACCCTGATTTGTAGTGTTTGCCAATTTCTGTGGTGTAAATATTCCCACCAAACAGATTTTAAGCTTCTAAGGGATTAACAACTGGTTCACAAAATTCTTGAACATTTAACAATTGGCTCTTGAGACAATAGGAGCTAGCTGCAGCATGCCACTACAAGTTACCCCATTACAAACTTAGCTTCAGCTACCTATGGTCTTCACCATATTGTTTAGTCTTTTGGAATATTTTCTGTACCAGGGACAGAATTGCCAAAGAATGGGAAAAATTCTGAGTTGCCATTTTAAAATTGTTGATATTCTATTAAAAAATTAAGGTTTGTATATATCGTTCTATTTATTGTGTTAGACTACATTTATTAAGAACATATTGTGCTGAATAAAGATAATTTTCAGGATTAAATGGATTGATAGAATGACTTAATTAGACAGCTATAATCAGCTATAGACAATTATAATCAGTTCACTGATTTTAGTTAAGGGTTGGATTTATACTTTTTGAAGTAATAGTAATTTGTGATATCATGCAGCTAAAGGATCTTTTGAGGAGAACTGCAGAAGGATTTGTAAAACTCTTTGACCCACAAGATCAACAGGGGCTGCCAATATTTAAGATGGAATTGACGTTTGATGATGATAAAATGGAATTTTATCCTACTCTCCAAGATTTGGAAGATGTTATTTTGAGTGTGGTAGAGCGAATAGCTGAAGCTCTGCAGGTATTACATCATCCTTACACACTGGGTTTCTTTACATGGCTCTTTTTCAGACTTTTAAATTATTTGAGTCAAATCTTTATAAAGTGTATATGTACGTAAAATGTTGCAACTCTTTGTTTTATTTTCCTCCCTCTGTTACTTTAAATTAGAAAGTGTTTTCTCTTTGAAAAATCTCCTAGCCAGAGATGACATTTTCCTTCTTAGAACCTTTCTTGTAGTAATGGATTGATATTTTTGTGTACGTCTAATCTCCTCTACTGAGTTGTGAGCTTCTTAAGAACAAGATCCAATTCATATTTGTTCTTTCTAGAGCTTTCTAGTATAATCACTTTGACATTACTCAATAAATATTTGTTGAATGATAGAAAACTAATCCAACTTAAATTTTACATTAGACTACAAACTATGCAATTTTAAATTTTTATTTTGCATCAAATTATTTTTTCTTGGACAGTTGAAGTCTGAAAAGAATGTTTTAAAACATTATGGTTATAAGATCTTCATTTAGATTAATTGCACAGTTAGATATTTATTGCATATATTATTATTTTTATTTGTGTTAGAATGTCCAAACAATACCTTCTTGGCTATCAGGAACTTCAACACCTGTAAATCTTGACACAGAACTTCCTGAACACGTGTTACAATGGGCTCTCAGTACACTGAAAGTGGCAATACATCACAACTTAGAAGGTGCAAGAAAACATTATGAGACCTACGGTATATATAACATATATAATATTATACCTTTTTTCCATCATTTTATTTTTATGAGAATTTGGTCAGATATTTTGTTGTCTAGGGCTGTCATGAAAGAGCACAGAGATCCAGATGTGAGCATAGGCATGGCTTTGGGCAGAGTCAAGGATTGAACGCAAGGAATTTTGTTGTCTAGTCCAAAGGACGAATGTTAACTGGAGCAGGATAATAAAGTTAAAAGGTAGAAAGAAGAGATGTTGGAATAAGAAGAGAAGATGTTGGAATAAGATCAAAAAGTAGAAAGAAGAGATTTAGAATAAATCAAGGGTTAAAGAAAGATAATTTCTGGGAATAGTTTTGCAGAGCCTGCAGCTCAATTTTATTGGTCTGTAGTCTACTCAAGTGTGGGTGAGGTCAGGATGGATAGTTTGTTATTTGACACTCTGTTAAACAAAATCTGTTAAGTGGTGCATCCGTACCTCTAAGTTATTTTAGGAGCCTCAAATATCCTATTACCTTTATTTTAAAATATCTGTATTTAGCTTGGTTTGCTTGCTAAAT